TGCAAACCAAGCTTTATACATTCAATAGCTTTAATGAAGAGATTCGTCGGTATTAGAATTTATTTAGTTTCAAATTTGACAATTTTTTTTCACTTACTATCTTTTATTTGATTATTTGCTATAAAGCTTTCCTTTACAGTCGTACAATAGTTTACAAACAACTGCTTAGCTTGCACAACATTATATTTATTTTTGTGGAGTCATAGCCATGTCGTCATAGCCATCTCATAGCATGTTGTTATAGCCATTTTGTGGTGTCAAAGACATACATTGTTGTGGTGTCATAGACATACATTACTGTCAAAGCCATATATTTTGCATACCGTGAGTTTGATGGGGATCAAAGTAAGCTTCTTTTCTTCAGTATCGCCTTCCAGTGAGTTCTAATTCTATCGAAACTTTACAATAAGTGCGTGCGTGTCACACAGGACATGCATTCGAAATTTAGAATTACCTGAAAATGTAATCTCTTCTGTTTATTTTCTTGGGCATAATGCTTAGAGGGAACCTTCGTATTTATATAAAAGTTTTTTGAATTAAGTAGGGTTCATACACAATGTTTATTTTAGCCACTTAGTCTTTACCAATGCAAAATATGTGACTTTTTAAGAACAATTAATGTCCAACTGTATGTATCCATGCAATTTAATTTTCATATACGTGTGAAAATTATACACGAAAATTTAACAACAATGGGAAAACTGAGAAATATAACCTTGTTTAAGCAGCTGCACGTTTCATATATGATGAATTAATTAACTATATTTTTATTCTTAAGTATCTCATTGTAGTTAGTAAAATTTGTCAACTTATGATCAAGATAAAATATCAAAATCACTCAAAAACATTAATCTCCCTTTCGTATGACTTTTTCCTTTTTTATGTCGAGGTCAGTAGCTACAGATTGCTTTTGGTTGAATAAAATTTGCTTGACGGGGCATTTAAATTTCAGCGTTAAAAATAAATATGCATTAACATTTTACATCTTTAGGTGTGCCTAACAAACCTTGAGATATTTACTATTACATCGATAAAGAATCGATAATATTACTTAAAATCTTTGCACATTTCAGAACGAGAGGCAACTTATGGCGTGTACATGTATATTACACAGATTTAACGGACCTCCAACGACTATCTTGAGGAAAATTAATAATTTATTTTCATTTGGTCAACGTAACTAGCTGCCTTGAATTAGGGCCTGTTCATATGAGACCGGTTAGCGAGACATCTCATCTATCTATGATCTTGTTTTGCAATACAATTACTATTGATATTCACGTCGTGTTCATGGCCGAGATCATAGGTAGGCGGGATGAAAATGGATCCTGTAAATGTCCAAGCTCAATTTTTTGAGCGTTCATACTTAACTGACGCTGCACGTAAGAAGAGCTAGTTTCCTTGACAACAAAGTGTAATATAATATAAATCATATTCCGAAGAAACAAGACATCTTGAGATTGCAAAATATGAACCAAAACAAGACGAGAAGTAAACTGTAAATTTTCGACTTTATTTCAAAGTCATCCTCAGACAGAGTGTAATATTAGTATTATTGCAATCCCAATATGGCGGACGAAGCGATCGCAACCATTTTCAATATTACATCTGAATACAACAAAAAGATGCGAATGCGTCGTGAAAGGAAAAAGAAATATATTTTGAAACTGTGAAAACAGCGAAGTAAAATAAGGGACGGCCAGTTTCTTTTTTGGTTTAATAACGTTCTAGGAAATAAATTAATGTGTGAAGGACGTTTCTGGGTAGATGCAAGCAAAGGCACGATTTGTTCTGGGAAAAAACTATCGATATGTGGAAAGATGATGGGTTTTGACTAGAAAATTTTCGTATGTCTAAGGGAACATTCCATTTCATTTGCGACAAGATCAATGGCACTCTTTTGCGAGAAGATGCAAATTTCAGAAAGGCTATCCCTGTGCCAAAAAGAGTAGGAATTTGTCTTTGGCATTTGGCTACCAATGAAGATTTGCGTTCTTTAATCTGCCGTTTTTGGTATAGGAAAAAGTACAGCCTGTGAAATCGTGAACGAGGTTTGCCAAGCTATTGTTGACGTGTTATTGCGTCTTGTTATCAAATGGCCAACGGGCGATAGACTGCAGTGTATCGTTGATGTCTTTCTAACGACATTAGGCTTCCCTCAATGCGCTGGAGCCATTGATGGCACTCATATTCAAATTGTTGCACCTTCAAATTCTGCATAAGATTACTACAATTGAAAAGGATTCCACTCTATTGTTCTCCAAGATGTTGTTGATCATCAATACAGGTAGCAAAATGTACTGCTTTTGTTAGGGTTGACTTAATAAATTTTTGCCTCCCTGTTATGCAACTGACATTTTTCACCTTCTAACAATTTTAGATCCCATGGGAAGTTTAACAGTGACTGGTGTAAAACAGGTTTCTTATTAATTTAGACATGTGTTTCAACTAGTTGAATCAGTAAGTTACACAAAGTGAATTAAATTACACACACTTAAAAAATAAAAAAATGTTAATTTAAAAGATTTTGAAGATTCACTGACATTTTCATAAAGGGCCAGGTCGAGTCCATGAGGCAAGAGTTTTGTCAAACTCGGGAGTGTTTGCAAAAGCTGAAGCAGGAAAACTTTTCCCGAATGTAAGTTTTCTGTTCTTATAATAAAAAGCTTATCTTAGGTCAGAGGCAAATTTTACTGCATTTTTGATAATAGTCACTAGAAAATTCATGGTCTTAATATACTCTAGGGAGGAAAAGAGATATGTGGTTGCAATGTACCATTCATGCTTATTGGTGATCCAGCATATCCACTGTTACCATGGTTGATGAAGAGGCATCCTAATGATGGCAATTTCAGTCCTGCTCAAAAGAAATTTAATTACTACATAAGTCGAGAAAGGCAAGTCGTGGAGTGTGCATTTGGCCGTTTAAAAAACAGATTCCGATGCCTACTTAACAAGAATTATACAAATTTAGATCATTTGCCTATGAAAATTGCAGCATGTTGTGTTGTACACAATATTTGTGAGAGTAGAGCTGACAAACTTTTTGCAGATTATGTTGAACTTATTCCTGATGATGAAATTTGTTTTACAGAACACAGACGCAAGTGCACAGCAAATTAGAAATTCTTTAACTGAGTTTTTGATAACACAATAAGCTGATGATAGCTAAATTACTCATGTTCTTAAACTAAATCAAAGTTTTTTATATGTTTGTTGACTTTCAGCATCATGGTGAACATTTTAGAATGGTTGTTGCACACGCTGAGACCTCACTGTTATTGCTTTTGCAGGAAGTGACATTACTCCTTATAAACATTAAGCTCTTCCTTTCGCAACTCTCGCTCTTTTTCTGCTTCTTTTTTCATTTCTGACAAAAACATTTCATCGGACTCCTTTAGATATTTGTTGTGCTCTTTCATTGCATTCTCGAATGCCACTTGCATGCTGGAGGGCTTTGCCTTTCCATTGGTATTCTTTTCCTTGGCACTGATTTGTTTTCATATTGAGATGGTTGGGATTCTTCATTTGCTTTACTAGGTAACTTCTCATCTGCGTTACTGACATCTACATAACTTATTTCATGAATGTTAAAACGTAATAAAACAAAATAAAGTACACACATGCTTCACCTGCTTCAATATAATCGCAAAATGGGCAAACAAGTCTGTCATCATCAGCGTATACTGCAGTGCTGTTTCCAACATGGGCTCCAGCTGTCTTAAGCTCCACAAACTCATCGCGCTGAGGACATTTTTTTCAATGATCGTCCCGTGTCCATATTTTCTTGTAAGCTCGTCTGCTATTAAAAGCATTAACGGGCATGATGATGATGGTAAGTTATCGTGGATGAGTTGATATCGAGTGGTCTTTTTTTGCAAAAGAAAAGTGTGATGTCTTTTCGTTTGATGTGTGATGTCTTTTCGTTTGATATGTGATGTCTTTTCGTTTGATGTTCATATGTTGACACAAATATATTTACAAAATTTGTCTTATTTTAACCAACCCCCTTTTAGTGAAGAAAAACTGAGTTTACATGCAAAAACATGTATTATGTACTAGTTCAACGATGTTTTTGCGATTGAAAGAGAGTTGATTTAATATGTACAAAATTTGTCTTATTTTAACCAACGCCCTTTTAGTGAAGAAAAACTGAGTTTAAGATGCAAAAACATGTATTATGTACTATTTTTTGCGATGTTTTTGCCATTAAAAAGAGAGTTGGTTGAGCATGTTTTAGTATAACAATCACAGTGCTGTAGAAAAACATCGTTTTTTACCGGCCATTATAAATAAATTTCCATCAAATCAGAGCCATAGAAATAGATATATCTGTGTGTAAATGATACCAACATTATTTTATAGACGACGTGACTTGTTTACGTTTTGCTAGGAGGCAGGTTTAATCGAGTGCTTTTAGACAACACTGAAAACAATGGTTAATCTCCATTGGGATAAATCTGTCTGCCAGCAAACTGCAAACAAGCTTAGTTTGAGTATTAAAGTCATTTATAAACTCAGCTCAGTGAGCTAACGAGTCACCCAGATCACCCCCACCCTAACTGCTTGCTTTTTCTTTGTCTTCTACACAAGAATATCTGCATTTCCATGCTTCAATTTTAATAAATTGTTTTGAAATAATATTGCACTTCAAACTGTACAACAATTTCTTTTTTGTCTGTGTTTTTCCATAGTTTTCCCTTTTGGATAAGATTTATTGTGTGGCATAGCGGCCAGACCTTGCCAGATCAGCTAAGCTTAGTCGCCGCGCCTTGGTTATTGTACAAATTTTGTCTGAAATAATATCTGCGTTATCAACGGTTGGAATATGGTGCAATTTGCTATCTTTTGACACCGTTGAAAGGGTGTCAAGTGTCAAGCCAATCACAGCGCAAGCATTTTGTGCAAGTGACACCATGAGACTTGAATCGACACACTAGCCATGATTTTGTTGCGCAATGACTGTGACATCGTTGCAGATGGGAAATAGTAGTAAAACAGCTTGCCAAAATCAATGATATTGATACCAGTGATTGATACATATTATATCTACCATGGTCTCTTACACTGCGAGTATTGATATTCTGCGCTACACTAAGTCGAAGTTTCAAATGTTTGAATATTCAAGAAGATATTTCCATCGAGTTTTTTAAGCTGAAGAAGCTTTTGAACGCTTTTTGGTCTAAGACAGAGCTTGAAAAAGCAAAATTGGAATAACGACGAAGAGTATGATTTTGTGAATTTTATGAATTGCTTTTTCCGCAGAGTCAGAATGAGATATAATGCTTTGTGCATCAGTAAGGTTAGATTCTGACGTAGTTACTTGCTATAGATGATAAAAATCACTTAATTATGCTTATGACCCTTAATGATGTATGTATCAAATGGAATTAATATGGTGGTCAGTCACTCAAAGTTCATTAAAATGACTCGTATTTTCATTGAAAATAAGCCATCTCCTTAATTATTAAAGCTTGCTATAAAACTACAGCTGTGTTGTTGAAGCTGTTTGCTTTATACCCTAGTGATATATATGTATATAAAATAGTGCTACTCCTCAATTTTTAATGCGTGCTATAACACTGCAACTGTATTCTTGAAACTCACTGGTTGCTTTGTACCATATAGATCATATAAATAATAAGCCTCTTTCTCAATACTTAAGTTTGCTATAAAAAGGCAAAGTTCTTTATTCCTAAAAGATAGTTACTTTGTAACACTACCATATAGATATATGTACAAATAAGCCACCTCCTCAATTGTTAAAGCTTACTATAAGAATGCGGCTGTATCCCTGACAATGTTTGCTTTGTACCGAAAGATGTCTATAAATAATTATCCTACTTCTCAAATTTGAATGCTTACCATAACACTGGAACTGCATTCCTGAAATTGGGTTGCTTTGAGCATATAGTTATAGAAATAAGCCACCTCCTCAGTTCTTAGAACTTTCTATAACATTGCAACTTTGTTCTCTAAGTTGTTTGCTTTGTACCCTATTGTTATATAAACAATAATTATCCTTCTCAATTTTTAAAGTTTGCTGTAAAATTGCAACTAATTCTTTCAAGCTGGTTGCTTTGTACTCTATAGATAAATAAATAATGAGCCTCTTCCTCGATACATAACATTAAGCTTGCTAATTTGTTGTATAGCTGAAGCTCATTGCTTTGGACATGATCATTCTCTAACATTAAAAAAAGAATTTATGTACCTCAACTATATAACTATATAGTAATATTTTCTACTCAACTTGTTTTAGTACATTAGCTGATGGAATTTGTCTTTACAATGCTTGTTCTATTGTCTTGATTGCAAATGAAAATCTTTCCACCATACTGTGGTGCCTCACCAGCATTGAGTTATATGAAAATGCTTCATACTTTGGTAAGCACTCCCTTTATTTCTCAGAAAAGACCAAGAAAGCGAGGTTATTGAGAGGATTATTATATGGCATTATTTGACGTGAAACGAAGCTTGCTTTCTTTCTCGTCCTTGATGTTTTTTACTGGTTGGCTTCAATTTTCTAGTTTTCGTCCATAAAAAATAAATCGTTCCAACCTACATTGTCTGGATAGTTAAACTGTTTTACAAGTGTTTTTCTTTCGAATCACATTCGTATATAGTTTTTTGTTTCGTTTATTTAGCGTTTTGCTGTTTGCTTTACGAAGTTTGTTTACATTGAATGTAAAATTAAGCGTTTTGGACCGTGGTCGATTGCGGGAAAGTAATAAACCGGCTAAAATGTTTCTGAGCCAATCAAAGCACGCCACTTAGCCGGAAGTGACGCTTGCCATATAATAATTACCATTATTTACGATTATAGTTATCATTACTTACCATTGTCTACCCTTACTTACCATTACTAACAATTACTTACCATTAGTTTCCATTAGTTACCATTACTTACTTTATTGTTAGCTTTTCTGCAATGTTATTGGTTATATATATTCTGTTAGGTTGATGGATCTTTTGTGGTACGAAATGCGCCGGTTATGGAAAACTTGAATTTAACCCTGTATTGTGAAGAGTATAAAAGACTTTGCTTTGGAAGTGTACTTGAGGAACGTATAGGGAGTAAAAGTGGATCTTGGAGGCTTTCTATGGTCAATCTTTCGTACGCAGCCTGTTGAAAGTTAAGTTATAAGAAAAATGGTGGAGATAATTTTCAATTACTTAGGAGCATTTAACCCTTTTTTATTACCATAAGTGTTTTAAAACTCATATTTACTATCGTTTAATACATTTATTTTGCGAAAGCGTAAGCTTTACAAGTCTTTGAAAAATAAATATGTCGCGAGAAAATAGTCATCATATTGTGGATTTTTCTTTCAGTTACTCGGCTGTTTTAGTGGTGCCACAACACGTGACCGATGACTCTTTGTTGCGCGTGTCTAAAAACCATCGCCATATGCGTTCTCCTGTTGCGACGTGGAGACATTAAGTCAATAAATTCGCCGTTTTATTGCGATCTCTGCCATTGAACGAAGCTCTGTGGCATTCATCATTTGCTCTGGTTTAGCTGCAAGTTGTGGAAGCACTGACGCAATACTTCATCCAACGTGGAGCAAGATAAATATTTATCTGCCGTAGGTTAGTTGTTTATATTTATCGTTTCAACGCTCGTCCCCTACCCTCACATGTAAATGCCCTCCCGACCCAGTGCAATGCCCCCTCTCCCACATACACACAGATCTATTGCCACCCTTGGTATCACAGCAATATATATTACTTTACTATAATTATGGGTACGTTGTGGATTCTCGTTTTTTTGAAAATCACATTTCGAATTAAAGTATCCTCGAAAAATAAACGAGAACTAATAAAAATGAATTGTATAATTGTTTTTCTAAAACTGAGTGATTTAGATATAGCTTGATTTTCTACACTATTAATTTATGGATACTGTTGATTTTTGTAACATATTTATATATGAAATAAGTATTTAGGGACTGTTTGCTATTCTTTAAATTTTATTAACATTAGCAAATGTACCTGCATTTATCACTTTTTTCGTATCAATCCTAACGTTTTGCTTTAAGTATTATTATGTGATTATGTAACCGTGATTTTCTATGCTTTTAATTTTAAGTGTCTTCAAATCCTGTATCGTGGAATAAAGTGGAGGCGAAACATCGTTCACTGGAAGCCAACGTCAGCATGTCTAAAGCAACGATGAATCTACGATCAAATGACAATGCATCTAAACGTGTTTCTGTTGTGGATTCCGTTGACAAAGCAATATCTAAGCAAGGATGGGAGCCTGCCGCACTGTACGTTTTTTAATCTTTCTTGATGTGTTTATTATCTGTATTATTATTTTAGCGATAGTCAATGGCGATAGTGATGTAAGCCCTCAATACCCAAGTGCAAGATCTTACGTTTTGTCATATCCAGTTCCTTTGAAATCGAATGTGTTTTTTTTCAGTTCCATTTTAATATGCATATATAAATATTATCCACTCTCCCCTTCCTCCCAATGATCGAACTGTCAATGTCTCTGCTTCACGTACGAACAACTGCAGTTAATACTTCATGTTGTTTTTTTGTAGGTGACGTCATTTGCTCAAGTAATGTTAGATCCATACTACCGAACGATTAATGGTTTTAAAGTTTTAGTTGAAAAAAATGGTTGTTCTTTGGACATTGTTTCTCACATCGCTGTAATCATACACATTCAACGCAATCAAGTGGATTCACGCCTGTTTTCTTGCAATTTCTTGATGGCGTCCATCAGGTTGTCCTTGTTTCTTAAAGTTATCTTAAAAATTGGGGTTAAGATAGTCTGGTGTCTGTCGTCTGAGTATTGTGCGAAATGTTTTTTTTTTATATTACACAAAAAAACGTTTGACCAAAGCTTGAGTAAAGCATAATTTTTTTTAAAACTTTATTCGATCAAAAATTTTAGTCACAAAGTTAAGGCGCTTTTCTCGCCATAAATTTGAAATATACATTTAACGTATAAAAGCAACTCTTTCGTGGTCATTATCTTCAAAGTTTTCTTGCATTGTAAGACTCAATAAACCTCTCAATGATTATTTCAATACCTTGTTAAATATCAAACTTTTTAAAGTGCATAGTTTAGGTTCAAAAAATAACTTTTCTGGATAGTTAAATTCATTTTAAGAACATGTGCACAATATTTTTTCAATGGTCTTTTCGGGCCCAGAAATAAGTTACTCATCACCATCAGTGACGCACTTAGGAGAACACGCTCGTTTCGTAAAGTAAAAACACCGTATATTATTAAAGAATTTTGGTGGGAAATGTTTAGACATCAATTGTCTCCCATCTTTTTTATTGCTATAATTCAAAATTAATGATAAAGTGACTTAGCTATTTGTTCATATTGTTTGTGTTCTCAGTTATTTATTTTTATATGCAAGTTTGGAAAAATTACTCATTTCTACATATTTTTTATGTTCTCAGATATTACGTCAGTATCCACTATCCTTCGAATTCAACGAGTATTATTTACATTTCCTCGCCTATCATCATCTCCATGCGTTTTCGTACGTTTTTACTGGATTCAGAGCACGAACGTGTGCAGATGGGTTGGCTATCAGATGCTGAAAAGAAAGATGCAAAGACTTCTAAATCTCACATAAAAAGTCTTTGGGAGTACATCGACATGCTACACAGAAAAATCATCATTACTTTATAATTTCAAATTTTCGAAAGAACATTCTGAAAAGGTGAGTTGTTGATTTGCAGCCATATTTTAGCAAATCTTTCCAGCAACCGTTGGCATGCAATACAATGAAATTACCTGAATGCTTTTCGGTCATGTAGTTGTGTAATCACTGTCAAATTGATTTAAAACAAGATTAAAGAAGAACAGGCATTTAACAATGGACGCCTTGTTTATCTTTTATCGAACACGTGTATTTGTTAAACTTATAAACTTCATTTAGTAAATCCCAGAATATCCTCGATTTGTTGTGTTGTATTTAAAGTGACTTTATTAGACTGTAAAACCCATTGAACTAAATAGAGCTGGATCATTGTGTTGTATCTAAAGCCAGCAATTCAACTAGTCACAAAAAAGTCCATTTACAGTGATAAGCTATCTGGATTTCACCCACAGACACGCGTGTCTGAGAGTAAAATTTGGTAGTGTCAATGGTTAAACCTGAATAGTTTTCTTCTCTAGACAAATACGAGGGCAAATACGTATGTCTGTGTATAATTATATTGTGCGATGTTTTTAATGAGATACAACAAAATTTGAACAAAATTTGTTAGTGTAAATAAAAAATTCTTGATTATAAATTGGAACTATAAAAATATTTTTGTTGTTAGAATTTTGCTCACAAACACAAGAATTATAATTTATTGGGCACCTAAAATATATTTACTAGCTTACAAGGACTCGTTTACTTTATTTTCTCTAGAAGATTTTCTTCTCGTAAACCAGATTTAATACATTATTTCTAAATTCCCAGGTGCTTCGTCCTCATTGCAACGTTTCCAATCTAAAATTATGGAGTTATTTTGTTTCGGAGAATGTCTCCACTGGTCCAGAGTTTGATCAAAAAGTCGTAAATGAGACAGAAACTGCTGCCGAGGAAGGACAACAGAAGTTAGAAGACAAGTACGATGCCAACAGGTATGAATAAGATATTGCGTTAAGAAGTAAGCGCGTTTCCATTAAAACTTAGCAAAGTACCTCTACGATTTGCGTGTTTCCATTAAAAATTAGTGAAGTACTTCGATACTTAGCGTGTTTCCATTTGAAAATTATTGAGTACTTTAATAGTTAGGATGTTTCCATTTAAATATTATGTAGTGCTTTCATTGTTAGCTTGTTTCTATTAAAAAATAAGTTTAATGCCATTCGTAGCTTGCGTGCTTAATTTTTTTGTTGCAAACTTTATTATAAGTTTAAAAAAGTGATTTACACTATTCAACCATGCTTGATTATTGAATAAAAATAGCTAACGCTTCATATTGTTTACTAGACGCTGTCGAAGTGGTATGTTTGGTGGATCAGTTCATTACGACAGTAGTAGCTGTGCATAACATTTGTACGAATATAATCGCATCGAAGAAGAGGCTGACAAACACACAACTCGTTGGAAAAAAATATGGGAGCGTTTGGAACAGCCTAAAATAACGAAAACGGTAGGTATAGCAAATATACTTTCTTTGTGACGTGTTGTTTTCTTTTACTTTGTAGTCATTAAGCAAAGGTCATCCACTGGATTTTTTGTAAATGGCTTGTGAATATCATATTTTAGGTTTCGTTTAAGCATCTTAACTAATTTTTGCTTACTGGAGTATGTGCATGGTGTGAATACCATTACAGACTGAAAAGTGTGCATTGTGCGTATGAATACCATCACAGACTGGAGTGTATGCATTGTATAAATACATGACTGGAGTATGTGCATGGTGTGAATACCATTACAGACTGAAATGTGTGCATTGTACATACGAATACCATCACAGACTGGAGTGTATGCATTGTATAAATACATGACTGGAGTATGTGCATGGTGTGAATACCATTACAGACTGAAACGTGTGCATTGTACATATGAATACCATCACAGACTGGAGTGTATGCATTGTATAAATATCAGACTGGAGTATGTGCATAGTATGAATACCATCCCAGACTGTGGTGTTTGCATGGTACGATAGAACACCATCACTAACTGGCATTTTTTCTTTATAGTTTTTAACATACAACGAAGAACTTTCCAGAGTCCGTAGTGGTGTACTACACAAACGAGATACGATGGACATAATACTTGAGGTAGTATTTATGATTCTTTTCTTTATGATCAATTTTATATTGATTGTAGATCATTTATAACTTCAGTGACCATTTTGTGATTACGTGATTTTGAATAACTATTCTCGTTCATGCAATATACTCGTTCTATTGTGTGATTTTTGGTAAAATAATTTCTCTTTATACAAAAGGATTTTTGTATTAGTTTGGCAATATATAAAAATGCACTTTTTTAACATTTTGTTTTGCTGTACTGGTAGCACTAAGCCGTGAAATTGTATTCATGGTTTCTTGGAATATGTTGTATTCTTTAAGAACTAGAAAACACTTTCGGACTTTCTAGAGAGTTTAGAAACACGTGATTGGGAGAAACAATAAACTACATGGCAAAGAGGAGCACGAAGTGCGTGTGTTTGCAAAAAATTTCGAGTTTCTTTAAAAATCTCACGAGTGTTTCTATATAAATCAATAGGAATAGGAAAATATTTTTTGTATTTTCTTTGTGAAATAACGTTTTAAGAAGAGCATAAAGACAATGAATTCTTGAATTTTAATCACAAGTTGTTTATATTTTTGCCTTGAAACTTTCCGCCATAACCACGGAAGTTTTTCAATAATTTTGGGAGACTGAAGCTCTCGTGCAATAAAGGGTTTTATAGACACGGTTCTTTCGAGCATTGCACTAATCAGCACCCGTGTTTTAAAAGGGTTTTTTTCACACAATATGAGATTGGTGTCATGCCGCCATTTTGAAAGATTCTCGAACACAGTTTGTACAAAATTTTAATGTCTCTGAATTCTGATTTTTTGATAAAATCTTGAAAAGTAGTCAGTTAACGCATTAGTTTAATCTTCATTTAATTTCTTTTTACTGAAATGGAGGTAAAATGTAACCTACCTTGTGGTGGCTCACTTCACATGACAACACACTTTTGTACTGGTTTCAGTAAATAATTTGTTTTGTTTAAATTTTCATAATACGTCGATTCCTTTGTTGCGTTAGTTAGGCTTTCCATGCCTGTTAAGATCTTAGCTTTAAAAAAATGTCAACATTGTTGTGTTTTGCGAAGAATAGACAGCAATTGCTTAAATTTGTAATTCAAAATTATTTCTACAACTTTTGCTGCGTATTTATACCTTTGAAGTAGAGAGTAACTTTGTTACTTTTATAAGATGACCTTGTAGAAACTGATTTCACTTAGTTTCTTTTAAAGCTACGTACTATGTGACGCATGCTGCTTTTATATTTCAGGGGAAACTTCAAATCGAAGACTACAGTAACCAAGGTTTTTCACGACCTCATTCATTTGAACCTCACAGTTTCTTTACGCCAACCAACTGCGATTTCTGTCTACAAGTGATATGGAATATTGGAAAAGGAGGTATGGTTTGCTTGTGTATCTATCTATCTATGATGGCCATACAGTTGACTTTCCGTTGCATCTATAAACACACTTCTTTATCTTGTCTACTGTGCAAAGTTTCTATGGAAATTTTGCTAATAAAATTTTACAACTAG